AATCACTTTGCAGTGATTTTTGCTGCACCGATTATCGTCACTATGCGAGGCACCACTGTATTTATGTTGAATGTATTGTTCCTATTGTGGTTTGCATGCACCAATAATGTCGCAATAAACTAGCAATAAACCTAAAGTATGTAAAATTCAAAATTTGAAAGCTGAAGTCAAGGTGATACAAGTCCACTTTAAGTACTCTTAAATACAGAGATTGTACAGGTGATACAGTTTGTATTGGCACTAAAGAGGCAGAAGGATAAATGCTGTGCTTCAACATTTTTATCAGCTCTCCGTGTGCTCATGAAATATTCATACTCCAAAATACATACTTAGAGCTTCTTTCATACATGTAATTGAAAATGGTACATTACTAGGCACATGGCCAAGTGAAATGAAGGGACAAATGGGCCACAGTTACCTGTTTCAACTATGCAGGACTCCAGTGAGTTAACCATTTATTTCTTTAACTCAGCCACTGAAGGACAGGGCAGATCTCCACCCCTCTTCTTCCCTGTGTTGACATACCAGCTGGCTTACAACCATCCATGTATTTCTCTTCAAATGCATGTATAAGAGTAAGATTTTGGCCAGTGTATATTGCTGCCCATTTATGTGCATTGTGAATTTTTCATAGCTCAAAATTGCCTGTAATAATTGTATTAATAAAGCATTCATGTATTAACGGATGCAAGATTTTAGAGCCCCAACTCTTCTCCTTATTTTGCCTGAGTGCAAGTAGTGATTTTATGTAACAGCTGATGATTACTGTATGCAAAATACCTTATTAAAAGTACAATGTATTTAATGCTTATTTCACGCATAGATGGACATAACAATTTAAAATAAAAACACTTCCTACTGGTATTAACCATATTTTGTGAATTAGCTATTTTATTTATGTAACCAAAATACAGATGTGTTGAATACACTTGATTTGATTAGCTTACGTGACTTGACTAAGCCTCTTAAACAGTGACAAAGCTACAGGGAAGTGTTTCAGTAAACTCTTATTTCACTCCCGAAGAAAATAGTGCTGCCCCCACTGCTAAATTCCACATCTCTGTTAAAAAGCAGATGGATTAGAAGCTGAAGAATAACGTTTTGTTTCCGTGTTGTTCTTCTTAAATATGTTAGTGCAAACGTAAGACCAGCCTTTCCAAGTCCCACTCCAGTGCCAGAATTTACTTAGTGAGATGTTAATTTAGCTAGTACTTTATTGTATAACATTGTACAAAGGCTGCAATTGTGATATGCCTTCAGTGTACTGCTCAGACCAGGGCATAGAGTTAATACTTTTGAAATCATTTTAGTTGGGATAAAGCAGTGATGAGACATTTCTGGAGGCTGCTAGTGTCTAGACTATCGAAAGACTCCAGATATAAAAAATATGCTTGTGGTTTTAGATCTGTTGCCCCGTGAGTTTCAGCAGTTATCAACGGGCTTCAAATGCATGATTTTCATAATCCTCAGATCAATCGGGAAATATAATTGACGTTTTGCTTAAAAAATTGTGGGGATTTATGTTGACATGTGTTGAGAAGTACATTGTATTTATGTGTGTGTTTGTATATGTTTCTGGTGTGCGTAATTTGGGGGTATTCTCAGTAAACCTGCTTGATTTATTTATGTATTAATACAAATTAGGAGGTTAAATATTTACTGAAAATGAAGTCTGGCAAAGTAACAAGGAAACAAGAATGCCAATGGTGTGTTTTACTTCAGAACTTATTGGACAACAATGTGCAACATTACATTCTATCCTACCTGGTATATTTGAATGAATCCAGACTTGAATGCTGCAGTGTGTTCTGAAAACTCCATGGAAACAGAACAAAAATGAAAGAAGTGTTTGAGAATAATTGTATATTATAATGTAACTGTAGAAGGTTAAACATATATTGCAGATGTGAATATAATCACAACAGTAGAACAGGGTCTTGAGATCTCAGGCAGCTATGTACAGCACTCAGCTTGGCATATCCAGTTATATCGCTAGCACTTTTAAAAAACCATTGTTACCATTTTTATTTATTTTCTGCATTTATTGAAAATATTTTTACCCTACCTTTCTCCTTAAAGGTGATTCACACCATTAAAAGATGACATTGAAAGCTAAAAACAATGAGTATACAAATAATAAAAAGGATCAAACATATACCACTCTGAAAAATGGTAAAAAAAAGCAATAGTAAAAACAAATTCAAAGCAGCAAGGCACAACAATCCATCTAAAAATCCTCCCCCTGCAGCCAGTCACTCAGGGAAAGCTTGCCTAAAGAAAAAGTTCTTGGCCTGCGTGTGGAAGAACAGCAACGATGGGACCAGTCTGGCCTCCTGTGGGAGGGAGTTCCAAAGTGCATGGCAATATATTGCAGTTAGGGATCTGTGACCTCATTCTGGGTTTGCTTCAAAAATTGTTTGAGCTGAAGTGGGTTGTTATTCTGTGTTGTCAGGTGGCTTCCAGCTTATGATTTCTTTGTGAAGAGAGTGTGGAAGAACAGCAAAGATGGGATCAGTCTGGCCTCCTGTGGGAGGGAGTTCCAAAGTGCATGGCAATATATTGCAGTTAGGGATCTGTGACCTCATTCTGGGTTTGCTTCAAAAATTGTTTGAGCTGAAGTGGGTTGTTATTCTGTGTTGTCAGGTGGCTTCCAGCTTATGATTTCTTTGTGAAGAGACAGAACAGAAGATGTTAACCACATTCAAACTGACATGTGAAGAGACCAATGACACCCCTGGAAAAACCATCCTCTCCATTGAGGATGGAAACCTGGCCAGTGTGTCCTCACTGATCTCTTCCCATCAACTTCTGCTGCTGTGTGTCCTGAAAGCCTGAATAAGGCTGTCACTACATTGAGATGTGTTGTTGGCTGCTTCCAACATGCTTTGTTCAAAGCACAGTTTCATGAAGCTTGCTGTGCCCACTACTACCATTTCCTCGATGGACTCTTTTGCATTTTCTGAGTCATTTTATCAGAACTGGTTAGAGATGGTAGAGAGAACAATCTCTTGTGATTCTGGTTCTGTTCAAAGCCATGGGCAGCACCCAAAGCCAGAGTTACTAACTTCTTGTATGTGGAGGGAAAGAAAGGCAGAAGGAACACACAAAACAAACTGAAAAGCAATATGCAAATAAACATGTGCTAAATGTTGGCTTATAATTTCAAATGAGATTGGGTTCAATATATTTTTTTTGCAACTGTCATTTCCTTCCACAATCAACCTGCATTAAAAAAAAAAGTTCAAAAAAACAGTATGTATATCCAGCACCCATTATAATTTCTGTTGTTCATAAATTCTGTCTTCACGGAAGAGTCTCTAAAGAATCTTTGTTAACTTTGGCTGTTCTTCTTCTAGGCGTCTGAACAGAAATAAACTGCAAGTTCTTCCAGAACTTCTTTTTCAGAACACATTGAAGCTAACCAGACTGTAAGTATAGTTTTTATTTTTGGCAGGCTATATATGCTTTGTTTGAGTCTTATGTCAGCAATTTTGGCTGTGAGGTTTTGGTGTGATGCCTTCTTGAGGTGGATTTTGATATGTGTCTTGGTTTATTGTACAAGCTCTTTACTGAGAAACAAATCTGACAAATATTCCCTAGTCTTTTTACTGGTGCTGTTGATTTATTGGGAAATTGAAGTTGTTGATGTTACAGATCTTTTTTATAGCTGTGTTTGGATGAGCTATGCATTTTCCTTTTCTCCTTCAACATGGCTGAGAGTAGATCAGACTCTTCCACTTCATGATATGTTCATGAGCACCATGAAGGCTAGGCTCATTCCCATTAAAATAACTCATTATTTATTGTGGTGCCTAAATAAGCCAGAAGTGTTTCAGGTAAGAGGAATTTGAATAGTTGGTGTCCTTTAAAGCACTGATTTTGGTTGTAGTGGGAGTTTTCTTCTTTGTTCTTGTGCAAGTAATGCTATGGGGATTTTCCCATCATGCTGTTCATGGTTTGTTTATTTACACATTTGTGAATATCTGTGAAGTTTGGCTTTGGTTGTGCTGTTGAAATAAGAGTTTAATGCCCAACTAACATTTACGTTATACTGTAATGACACTGCATTGTGTCTGTACAAGTGAAATTTAAGAGCACTTTCTGTCTTCAGCATAGTGAAAGACATCAGTATCCTAAGTCACTTAATGAGTTTCTTACAGATGTTTTGCTGTTATGTAGAAAGGTCTATTTACATATGAATGGATATAGAATTTAAATTTTCGTTGCATCTTGGACTCTATAGGTTCACAAGTTGTTGATAATAAAAATGTTTCTGGTAACCTGGCAGCTGCATATGTTCACTTTCTATTTGTGGCTAAGTGTAAGTGTAGTAAAAATAATTACTATGAAGGGTGCACTATAAGTGGTAGGAATTTAATCAATATGAATGATTTAATCTTCATAAACAATACACAATTAAATTTTGCAAATGTATTTTGTGTACAAGGAAAACGTGCATGTAATTTGTAAAAGAAGAGTTTAATTGCAACTCCCATTACCATGGACACTTAATAATTTATGCATTCATTAGGTGTTCTATCAAGGTCTTCAGCTTCTCACACAAAGCTAAGCAGGAATGTGTAATGCTGTTCAGAAGCTGTCAAACAACTTACGTAACTACGAAGTAGGCTTGTATCCTGTGAATGCATAAATAAAATAAAATGAACCACTTGGACAGCTCCGTAAAAGCCAAACTTAAAATGAAAGGGGTAATCAAACTGCAGTACCCTTCAATTACAGAATATGTCTGCAACTTCTATAATTATTTACATGGTCTTCTGTGACATCTGTTTGATATTACTGGTGGGAATATACAGGAGAGGCAACCTTAAAATGGAATGCAAAGCTTGTTAAATGAGCTTGATTTGTCCATTTTTTTTCAGCCTTTCTTGCCAAGGGGAGGAGTCTGGAACTTGCACACTGAATGTTTACTTTTTATTCTGAGGTCATTTTGTTGAAGTTCTGCAGTACTTTTCTTATACGTAAAAGAAGAAGGAAAATAAGATGGTGAAAGAATGCATACAAAAAGGAAAGGAAATTGCTCCCATCTTGCCTTATAGGTTTTTCTTAAAACCTAACCCTAAGTATACTGCTTAAATCATCTACACACATATGTTATGAGGTCTCTCAGAGAGTTTCCCCCCATTTTTGTGACATGGCCCCATCAGAGATCACAGAGAAAGTGAGTCTGAATTGAATATCTGTGTACTGAGTATTGTTTTGCTATTGACTGTTAATCCTCAATGAAGCAAATCCATAAATGGTTCAGCTGCCTCAACCTACAATAGAATAGTAGAACATTCTAGTGACTTGTGTAAATACCCCAAGGCAGGACTGTGTGGTGAGGTACTGGTATTCATAATCCACTTGGTCTGAAACACACCAGCAATACTCAAAATAAACAATTTATTTTATTTAAAATATAAAACATAATGTTACAGTACAGCTTGTTCAAATAAACCAGAACTATAGTATTCTAGTTATTATACTCTGCTTTTGTACAAATAACATTTATATGGTGAAAGAATAATGGAATCTAGGATCAACTATTCAGCATCCTTCCTGGTAATTAGACCCCATGGATTCATGTCACCTTTGCAGCATATTGTCTACATTTTATTATCCTGCCCACCCACCAGAAAATAAAATAAATTCATGTAGAGAATTGGATACCCATGTGGCAGTTCATTATTGCCTGGCTCATATGTCATAGGACATAATAAACAAGTCTGGAAAAAAATTATTGGGGCCAACTTTATTTGTTACACTGCAATAAACTTGGCCTTCCAAGGGATGAGGATTTAGAGATCAGTTGACCTAACTGCCAGCTGATGACAGCCTCAGCCCTTGTGCCTGGTGAATAGTAGCATGTTAGGACACAATGTGTTCTACCTGGGTGCCCAGCTAAAAGGAGGTCCTGCTATCATTGGCCAATTCCCAATCTAGGCAGGGTCCAGGTCTTCACCCCCATTAGGGAATCCTGCTAAATTGGATTTGGCCCAGAACCACAGAGGTTCACCCATACATCCCTCACATAAAATTGTGACAAATTAAGTACAGCAAAATCAGCACACTGAAACCACACCAGAAACTGTCCTTTGCCCTATAGATTCCTTTCTTCATCTATCATTGTCTGGATGTTTGCAGGTAGAGAGAAGAGGCTGACCTGGAGAAGCCTCAAATAGAATGAGACTGAGTAGTTTTCATGCCACTTTTAAATACCTAGGATGTAGGCAACAGTAGAAATTGTGGCTCTGAGCAGCTCCTCCCAATGGCTGCACTCTTCTTGATTAGCTATCCAATCTACTGCATGCTGCTGGAAACTAAAGGGAGCACCGGGAGGGCAGCTGTGTGCATTTTAACTCATATTTAATTATAAAATTGTACTACAGAATTTGTGATAACCGAATACTCGTTTAAATATTGACTGGGAATGTGGTGATTTGTTCATTATTCAAAATGTGGATCAGATTAAATTCTCCACCATCTCTACGAATAAGGCAAAGTGGTTAGCAGTGACACTGACTGGGGTGCAGATTTATGGATATTATAGATTTTCCATATCATAAGAGAACTTTGAAAAACTTGGTCAGGAAAACATCTGGGCTGCACAATTCCTTTGTATTCAAAGTGGAGAGGTACAAGGAGCAGAGCCCGATACAGCTCCCAGAAATGTCCAGTTCCGTATTGGGTGAGGGAAGCAAAGATGCTGGCTAGTAGACTCTCAGGTCAAGAAATGGGTGGAGCAGGAGCTGTAAAACTCGATGTAGCAGATGCCCAGGCAGGCAACACAAAAGCGAAGTTCAGGAAGCAATGCAAATCATGAAACAAGGTTCAGACAACCTGTAACAAATGGGTACAGGGACATGGCAGAGGCTGTCAAACAGATTGCTTTCAGCAGCTTGCAGTCTGTTTTCTCGCTGTGATGCTGGAGTCCCATCCAGCACACAGTTGCAGGTGTTTCAGGTGGGAAGAGAAGAACCCAGCTTCAGGGTTTGGTCTGTAGGTTTCTCTGTGAGAAAGAGCCCAAGTGTGAGGAGACCACTTACTCATTAGGAGACCTTGTCTATATCCAAGGACTCCACCATGGACATATGCCTCCAGCTTTCTTAGCTATGGAGAGCTGGGAGGTCATTCCATCTTCTCCTTGGGCTCAGCTCCTGAGTCCCCATCATCTATAGATTCAGGTTCCTGCTTCCTTGAGAGTCCAGATTGTCCAGGGTCAGAGAGGTCCTTCACCCCATCTGGCTTTGGATTGGCCAGTTCCTCATTGGAGGACTCCTGCTGAAGCTGTGACATGACGTTTTAAAAAAACTGTCAGGGTTTTGTATCCCAAGTGACCAAAGCTTAGAGGAAAAAGAACCCAAACACTGTATACATATGTTTTTTGCAGTTTTCTTTGTTGTTTGATGAGTACCTGTCCATAATTGAATTCGCAGATTTTGAGATGAAAGTTTGTCTCTAGTGTAGCTCAAATCTTGCCTTAGAATGAACTGGAAGACTGCACTTTCTTAGCCTATGTTTTTCCTTTTGGTAGTGCAAATGTTGATAGTAATACTGATCTATCTGGACTCACTGTAAAGACTGATGGTGTGTGTGTGTGTGTG